TTCATGGCTACATTCTTTTTTAAAAAAAAACTGAAATGATAAAACTTAAATTATCTATCCTTTCTGTCCACAAGTCCAGTTTAGTTCCTCCCCTCTAAAGTTCCCACATTTGTCAATTTGTTTTGAATTCTTCTATATCTTTCTCTCTACGTATACACCTACATTTAGGAGAGGCAGTGTAGGGCAATGGTTAACGGTTTGGCCTCTAGAGCTGGCCTCCTTGGGTTCAAATCCTGGCTGTGTCACAGATAAACTGTGAGACCTTGGAGAAGTTGTTTAACCTCTCTAAGCCTAAATTTCCTCAATCTAAAAAATGGAAATGATAACATTACCTGCCTCATAGGGTTATTGTTAAGATGACATGACTGGGCCAGCCCAGTGGCGCGATGGTTAAGAACTGGCTTGGAGACCCCAGAGGGCCCCGGTTCGGATCCCACATATGAGGGCCAGTGACACTGCCCTCCACAGCTAAGATGCTGAACAACAGCTCAACCTGAAGCTGGGCTGCTGAGAGTCGCCGGCAATGGCGTAGGCTGCAGCCCCTACTGCAGTGGGTCGCCATGGGCTACCGTGGGTAGCCAGAAGCCAGTGTGAGCTGCCAGCAGCCGCAGTGAGTGGCCGACCAGAAACCGGCGACTGATCTGCCTCGCCCGGGGAAGAGCACAATGATGGTGCCAACTTGGGCTAGTGAAGCAACGTCCTCCACAACTAGACTGAAGAACAAAACGACAGTAACTTGTCTGTTCCCCTTTCCCCAATTCCCCTGCGCTGTTCCCCCTCCCCCCCAATTCCCCAATAAAAATAATGTTAAAAAAAAAAAGACATGACTGAAGTACTTCAAATCGTGCCTGGCATATGGTAAGTGCTAGATGTTATTACTTATACATACCCACGGGAAAAGTGGAATATTGTTTTTGCATATTTTTAAAAAACGTAATGGTTTCATAATAAATTTATATCAATCAGCAATTTGTTCTTTAACTAAAAAATGTGTCTCAAAGATACCTCCCTGTCAGTTTAGATCTGTTGAACTCTTTTTGAACGGATGCTTAGTATTCCATTCTATAGACAGTTTATTGAAATACCCACGTATGTATGGACATTTAGGTGGTTTCCAATTTCTTACAACTACATTGCAACAGCTTGCTAGTTGATTTCTTTATTTCCACTCTTGTTCCCCTTCCGTCTGTTTTCAACACAGCAGCCAGTTATTTCATTAAAAGCAGAAAGTAAATCAATGCTCAAAATCCTCCCTGGACTCCCACCTCATTCAGAGTAAAAATCAAAGTACTTATAATGGCCTAGTTGGTCTGTAACCTGCCCCAGAATATCTCTGGGCACATCTCCTGATACTCTCTCCTGGTCCATTTTATCCAGCAACCCTGATTTCCTAGCTATTTCTAAAACATGTATGTTATGCTCCTGCCTTTGAACTTGCCCTGTGCCTGGAACACTCCTCCTTCAGTTATCTGTATGGCTCACTCCTTCTCCTTTTTCAGGTCTTTGTCCAGATGTCCCTGAACTACCCTATTGAAAATTACAAACCCTTCTTACAAAGATAAGACCAACACAGTGATGGCTGAAATTGTGGATGGGGTGGACCAGATGCGTCTGTGCTTCCTTCCAGCTCTAAAATTCTGCTTTGGTGATTTCAGACCTCACAGTCTCCCATTGATGAAGAATGGGAACTTGAGACTCAGCCTAGAATGTAGCTGATGCAGAAGGAATGACAAGAGAGGAATCCCTTAAGCCAGGCTTACCTCGTGTTAATTTGGAAGGACTTGGGAAGTTTATGCACACATCCTGGCCTCCTGGCATTGCCTCATTCACTCACTCACTGACTCACTGAGCACCTTCTGCCTAGTAGGCCCTGGAGACAACACAGGTCTGATGCCCTCCCACTCCTAATACAAAGCAAGCTATCTTTACCTTCACCATCACTCCAGGCGTGGCCTGTCCATGGCCCTGCATTTACCTGGAGTTCGGGTGATGTGTTTGCTGAAAGTGGGCAGTCACAGCCCAGGCAGACCCTGCCCTCCCTTTGTCTGTCTACCCCACCTTGTCCTCCTTTTATTGCCATCCATACTTCGGGGCCTGGAGAGCAAATGGCTTTGCATTTATCACCTCCCAATACACTACATCACTTACATATTTATATTATTCTACATATGTCTTCTCTACTAGAATGTCAGCTCCCTGAGGACAGAGATTTTGTCTTCTTTTTCACTGCCGTATCGCCACACTTAGCACAATGATTGGCATAAAATAGTCCCTCAAGAATTGCTGCAATGACTGTGCCTCTGTGTGAAAGTGGATTAGTATGTCCCTTGGAACTAAACCTAGAAATAGAAATCCTAGGTCACAGGGCATACATGTGTGACATTTTAATAGCTGTTGTCAAGTTGCCCTCTAAAGCAGCTGAACCCATCTATTCTCCCACCTGCTGAGTTACCTTGCAAATCCTTGGTACCATCAAACTTTTAATGTTGGTCAATCTGATGGGTGAAAAATAGTACCTCCTTGTTTAAATTGCCTGTACTACTGGTGAGGCCAAGCACCTTTTCATGTTTTTCATGGCCAGTTTTGTTTTTTCTTCTAAAAATTGCCTATTTTCCCCATTGAATTTTTTTTTTTTGGTCCTTTTCTCACTGATTCATAGAACATGTTTTGTTTATTTACATTCTGGGTTCTAATCTTTGTTATATGTGTTAGAAATATTTCACTTCTCAGTCTTATTTGTTTTTCTTTTGTCAAGCAGAATTTTAAAATTTTGGTTTGGTCCCTTTCTTCCTTTGTCTTAGTTTTTCCCTATGTCTTACTTAAAATATTCTTACCCCAACGTCATAAACATATTCTTTTAAAACTTTAAAGCTTTTTTTTTTAAGATTTTTTTTTTAAATTGGGGAATTGGGGGGATGGGAACAGCGCTGGGGAATTGGGGGAAGGGGAACAGACAAGTTGCTGTCCCCTTTGTTCTTCAGTCTAGTTGTGGAGGGCGTTGCTTCACTAGCCCAAGTTGGCACCATCATTGCGCTCTTCCCAGGTGAGGCACATCAGTCGCCGGCTTCTGGACGGCTGCTCACTGTGGCTGCTGGCCGTTCACACTGGCTGCTGGCTACCTACAGTAGCCCATGGCAACCCACTCCCACGGGCTGCAGCCCACGCCGGCGCCGGTGACCCACGGCAGCCCAGCTCCAGGTCAAGCTGCTGTTCAGCATCTTAGCTGTGAAGGGCAGTGTCACTGGCCCTCATATGTGGGATCCGAACCGGGGCCCTCTGGCGTCCCAAGCCAGTTCCCAACCATTGCGCCACTCCGCCGGCCCTAAAGCTTTTTAATTTTTAAATATCCTTTGGGTTTTAATTCATTTGAAATTTGTTTTCATAACTGGTATGGGATAAAAATCTAACATAGTATTTCCCCCAAATGAAAAGCAAATGTCCCAACTCCATTATTTGTTTCCATCTGATCTGAAATTCTGCCCAGCATTTACTAAATTCTGATATACATGGGTCTGTTTCTGGACTCTTAAACTCTTCTGATTTTTTTTTTAAAGGCAATACCCTACTTTAAAAAAAACTTGGTGGAAAATTTCAAACACATATCTGTATATGAGTATATATATGCATATATGTGTCATGAAGCTGTCACTCAGCTTCAACAATTCTCAATTTGTGGCCAATTTGGTTTCATCTATACTCCTACCTACTTCCCTCCGCTACATACTCCTGATTATTTTGAAGGAAATTCTAGTAATTTCATCCCTACCATTTCTATATGTATCTCTAAAAGTATGAAGTATTAAAAAACAAACTAAACCAAATCAAACAAACAAAAAACCCTTGCAGTTTATTTTTTAAATAAACTAGATCTTTTGTCCTGCAGAGGTTTCCCATTTGGATTTTGCTGATCGTATCCCCATGGAGTCAACTAACCAGACTTTGAAAATTACTATAACTTCATAACATGTTAATGTTTATGAGATATGACAATTCCCCCCTATTATTTTTCAAAATTCAGATGCCACTTCTTGTGCTTTTCTTCTTCCATATGATTCTTTAGAATTAACTTGGCAAGTTCTATAACAAAATCTATTGGGGTTTTCATTAGGAATTGCCTTGAGCTTTAAATACGGAGAATTAACATCTTTACAACATTGGATCTTCCTATACATTAATAAGGCATATCCACCTCATTTAATTATTTTTAGTTATTCAACGAATTTTACATTTTTCAATTTTCCCATAAAGGTCTTAGGTTTATATTTTAAATCTTTGTAGCTTTTGTGGTTATTATAAATGGCGATCTTTTTGTTCTCGTTGTTGCTATTACTTTCTAATTGATTATTGATGTATAGGCCCAGGCGTTCTTAATTCAAATCCCATCTCCTCCACTTATTACATGATTTTAGACTTCTTTGAGCCTTTGTTTTCTTTTCTACACTATGAGGATGACACCACCAGCGACGTAGTTGGAATTAAGTGGGAAGGGCAACGCACCCAATAAACCATGGCTTTAGACTAGTAACATCAGGGAATGTACTAGATGAAGAATTTGAGAGACTAGTTGGCAGAGACACTGAGGGCGAATCTATGTTGCATGCAGGGGACTCCATATTAATTAATTAAGTGAATTCCTATGAATATCCAGGCACAATGCACAACTACAGGGAGAATAATAAACAAATATAGAGTTTTCTTCCGTGAAAGTTCTGGAGAGGTCCAGGATGGGCGCTGTTTTGTTATCAAAATCGATTCCCCATCTCTTCAATTGATACCACCTTTCCCAAATAGTTAGAAGCCGAGCATTCTGGGCTTTGTAGTAAATTCCTTATCAGAGTTGTTTCAATGGTCTCACGCAGTCGCCTGAGACTACATTTCCCAAGAACCTCCCTGCCCGGTTGTTTGCTATCCCTCATCCTGACTTCCGGAGTCGTGTGTTCTCTAGGGCCAATCGGGAGGCTAGGATTACGGGTTCTCGGCACTCTGATTGGTGCATTCGATTGGAGAACTTGGGTTCAAATTTTCAACGGTATTGAATGAATCCCGCGGCGGTTCTTGCGGGCGCTCGGGTGTTACAGCTGAGACAAGGTGAGCCATGGGGAGAAAAGAGGAGCAGTTGGGCGCGGGGATATCTTCTCCCTGATTTTCGAACGGCTGATGGTCGCCTTCAAGCCCCCAGTGCGGTCCCTGTCTCTAGGCCCGGGCTTCTGAGGCTTTTATTGTGGGGCGCCGTTCTGGCCCGGCGGAGTGGGAGCCGGGCTTCCGGCCACCCTTGTCTTCGTTACAGGATTTTTCCGGGAAGTCTGCCTGGACCGAGTCTAGGAGGCTGTGTCTGGAGGTAGATGTGGAGGCTGGCCCTCGGAAATAGGGGGAAGAAGGAGTTGCGAGAGACTGTAGGCCAGTAGTAATGGTAACAATTTCTGTTTTACCACACACACGAAATAAACATTTACTGGGCTAGGCACTCTGCACGCGTTTTCTCGTTTAATTTTCGCATCAAGCCAATGAAGTAGGAGCTATTATTCTTAGCTCCACTTTATAGAGGAGGAAACTGAGGTCCACCGTCTAGATAAGTTGAGAGAAATAGATGAAACAGTAGCCCCGCCCTCAAGAAGTGTGGCATTTGGTGGAGGAAAATGGATGTGGACCAACTACATTTTAAAACTATTGCGTAAGACATAAAGGTAAATGAGGTGGTGTGAGAACATAATTGAGAGAAAGTTTACTTCCATTTGGAGTTGTCTATTTGCGATTTTAAATTAATTCTATTTTATCCATCTCTGCCCAGTCCTCCCCTTTTGTATCAAATAACTAGATATTGCCTTTCTAATTTCTTGTCCTAGAACATTTATAGATTGGAGAGGGATGAAGTGTGAATCAGGATATAATATTGTAGGTTTATTTCCCCCCTTTTTCTTCATATACGGCTTCTTTTTCTCATATACAATTTTCTAGTAGTTAAGTACCAAGGACATCCCCCAAATCAGTCCTGTCTACGACAAGACAGCATCCAGGTTAGCCTAACCTTGTCTTTGACATCCTATTGCCGTTTAAAAAAATTTGTCTCACCATCATATGTCAAAAATCGAACTATTTACTGCTATAATAAGGATATTTTCGTGTTGTGGCCTCAGTGTATCACACCCCCGGTGAAGCCACCCCTATATCATCCTTGGTTGTTTTGGAGTAGCATTGTTGGGTGTGTCAGTTCAGTATTAAGTTGTCACTCTTGGGACCAAAATTGTGGCTCCCAGCTCACTTAAGCTAATTAATTGAACTTTGAGGGCATACTGTGTGCTCAGGTTGGTGTTAAATACTGTGGGTGTACAAGTGTATGATGTACTCAGGGTTTTCTGATATGCTTGAGGACAAAAGACTGATTCAAATTGACAAGTGACTCTCAGAACAAGACAAAACAACATCTGAGTGCTCTACTGTTTTGTACTGTAAATGCCCTGTCAATTTAGAGGTAAGAGAGATCAATGAGGCTTAAAATAGGCAAGGGTAGCTTTGTGAAGCAGATGGGACACACACTAGCTCTTGATAAGCAGAGTTTGGTGAGCCAAGAACTAGAACAGTCTTTTTTTTTTTTAAGAATATATTGGGGAATAGGGGAAGGGGAACAGACAAGTTGCTGTCCTTTTGTTCTTCAGTCTAGTTGTGGAGGATGTCGCTTCACTGGCCCATGTTGGTATTATCATTGCGCTGCTCTTCCTGGGCGAGGCAGATGTTTCGCCAGCCATTGGACAGCGGCTCACAGCAGCTCATGAAAGCTCACACCTGCTGCCAGCCAGCCCCACTGCAGCTCAGCTCCAGGTCGAGCTGTTGTTCACCATCTTAGCTGTAGAGGGCGCAGCGTCACTGGTCCTCATGTGGGATTCGAACCGGGGCCCTGCTGCTCAGAGCTGGTGTCCCAAGCCAACTCCTAACCAATGTGCCACTCGGCCAGCCCTAGAGCAGTCTTGGTGCATAAAAATCACCCGCTTAATATCTGTTGAATTGGATAGGCAGGAGGGCATTATCTAAATTGGTTACAAAATTGCAGGTATGAAAAACTGGATGTATTCAGCTGGGTTGGTAAATTTGTTTAAACTTTCAAATTATTTAAATAAAATAGGGTTATTTTGGCCAGCTTTATGCTTAAGTCTGTATATGCTAGCCTTAATAAAGTTAATTTATCCTACAGTTGCAATTAAGTTCTTTAGGAGATGGGATTATGTGGGAAGGTCCTTCATTTTTATTTTTTTTTAATTTTTTTTTAGCTGAGCCATCCTGCTACCTGTTGGCAGCTCAGCGGATATTCATCTTGGGCCGGGAATCGAACCGCTGTTGTTCAGAGCTCACACTCTTGAGCGAACTCTTAACCAACTGAGCCACTTGGCCAGCCCCTGGTCCTTCATTTTTTATTTAGGTACCAGGAGAGGTTTAGAGTTCTTCTATATCCCCTGTATATTTTTTCTTCAGCCTTTCCTGAGTCTCTTCCCTAATTCTTTTTGAATTGCTGGGGAAGAAGGGAGGTGGAGAGATTTAAATGCCTTTTGGCACTCTTAATATTCTTTGCTATGAGTAAAGGTAGGAAGCAGAATTGACTATAGGGAGATTGAACAGCCCAAGGAAGTCCATAAATAGGTTTGACATAGGTTTGAGACAGGGACATAGAAATCAGCAGCCCAAGGTACTTTGTGAAAAAGGCGTGTAGATAACTGGGAGGGGTTCTGTTTTTGTTTGTTAACATAAAGAAACTTGCTTGGGAGAGATTAAAAATTAGTGAGAAAAGTATAAAATTGTATGTAGGAGCTTGCTTTGGAAATTAAAAAAAAATGTTTTTTCTACTTTTTAAAATAAAAAAAGGTAGTAAAAATTTTTTTTCATACTTTAAGCATGCCTACTATTTGTCCTGTTTGAATAGGATACAAGTGTACAGTACCACCTCTTGGTGTCTAAATTGCAGGTTTTGGCAAGGTTGCTTTAATGTGGGAATAGGTAATATCAAAAGATACCAGGAGACAGCAAAGGTACACTAAAACATTTTAAGAGCACTTTTACACTGATGAAACAACAACCTCTTAAGAAGTTTGGCATTTGGTGCGGGGAGTCCATACCATTTAGAGAGTGGGTATCTGAATACTTGACCACAGAGAATTTAAACCTATTTCATCATCTTTCTGCTTCTTTCCAGGTTCTTTAAAATAAGTACTTGCCAGACTTCAAGATTTCAGAAAAGAGGTGAAAGAATATATTGCAACTTTGACTGGACTGGCAGATTAAACCACAGGTAAGGTTGTGTCCACAGCGTGTTACATTAAAAAGGAATAAAGGGAACATTAATTAATTAGCCTCAAAAGTGTTTAAATAAGTTTAACATATCTTTATAAAGTAATGTTTTGGAAGAAAATTTATTAAATATTGGAAAAGCAAAAAAAACCACAAACCAACAATAATATAACCCATTATCCCACTTCTCATATAAACCATGGCTAATATTTTGATAGATTTCTTTCCAATGTTTTTCTGTGCCTATATTTGTTTTTGCTTTTTTTCCTTTTACAAAAGTTAGGCTATGTTTATTTAGAGTCACAAGCAGTTGACAGACTAAGTGTGGTGCAAACCACAAGAAGTCATTTCTACTTCACTCCATTCTGAGTCTTAGGATTGGGTTCTAGAATGGCTGGAGTGCTGCTTGGAGTCCACTCACAGTTTTACAAGTTTTCTCTTTGAGGCAATCTGTGACTGACTGTGAGATTGGCCAGGTAGTTCACCATCAGCAGATCATTGATGTTGCTGTTGAGCATGGTCTCAAAGTCATTGGGTACTATGTTGGGTACTTGGTCAACCAGACTCATCAAGAAGCAGCCCAAAGTATTGTCAGATGACACCTTTTGCAGACAGTACATCTGCATACTGCAACACTGTGCTTAGGGAGGACGTCCTGGATGCGAGCCGAGGAACCTGCTACTTGCTGCAAGTCACTTGAGAGTCCAATCACCCTGTTGGGGCTAAAACAGGTTTTTATGATCAGGTCCACTCCAATGCGTTCAGTGTCATAATACGTATTTCACTTTCAGAGGTGTGAGCATCACCCCCATGGTGGTCCTAGGGGTACCCATTAAAGTGCTGACATAGGCCTTGATGCTCATGTGGCCGTTCTGGAGCCTCGTGTCCACAGTGAGGTGAATGGGGTTAGGGGCTTCCCTGCTGTATACTCATGGATCAGCACAGAGTGCTCTGTGATGTCATGGCCTGTAGAGTACCAACCCGGGATGAGCTCACTGGGACAGACTTTCTTGTGCAGTTCATACATATTCTTAGCAAATTCCATGTCAATAGCCACCTCATCTTCTGACTCAATGTGTGGCACTGAAAAGTGATTGGTGACTTCCACTGAGTGCTTGTCAGTGGTTCCAGCAGGGTCCCGATAACTTGGGCAGCTCCTCACTGCATCGCTCATAGCTGTCCATGGCCAAAATGACTGGGTGCAACCGGAACACATGGGTACCAGGGAAGGGGCAGGACCAGCCAGCGACTGTGCCGGGGTCTGCCCTGCTGCTGCCGGCATGTCTGGGGATGAGGATGGAGCTGGAGTTGGAGCTGGTGCTGGAGCTGAGGCTGAAGCTAAGGCCACAGCCTAGGCTGGGGCTGGAGTGGCAGGAGAAACACTCGCAGGTACTGCTGGTGTGGCCATCTTGTCGAGAGGGCTATGTTTGGTTTTAAAGTCATGCACTAAAAACCTTCATTATTTTTTTCACTTAATAATTAGGTTATGAACATTTTTTCATGCCATTAAAATTTTGTGTAACATAATTTTAATGGCTATATGGTATTCCATTATAAGGTTCTATTGTAGTATTTTACCCAGTGAAATCATTGGTCAAAAGAATGCTTATTTTTAAGACTTTGGTACATAACACCAAATTGCCTCATAAGAAAATTATGCAGCTTTACATATCTACTAACAGTATATGTTCACACAGACACAAATTTATATTTTAAAAAATATGTAATACATTTATCTACATTGTGCAAAAATCAAAATTATATGAAAATATTTGTGGTAGTTAAAAATCTTCCAACCCTGTCACTGTCTACCTCACTCCCTGCCATCCATAGGTAATCACTTTTTTAGGTGTGTGTGTCTACTTCCCAGACCTTTTGAAGGGTATAAATCTATACAAGACAGTGATTGACATTTGATGAGGATTGTAACCTGCAGCCCCACTATCAACACTTACAAACTCTTGCAGCTTCTTACTAATGGAACATCAGAACACTGATATTCTGCAAAGATTTCCTCTTAGTATTCTACAAAGATCTGTATCATTATTTGGCCTAGAGATAAACAGCATCATTTATTCCTATCCAGGTCCTATTAGTCGTATAAGAGGGGATTATGGATTATAGAGTCTATGGATAAATTAAATAAAGCAGAACTGAGTTTGTAATTCTTCAGAGAGATGATATGAAAATCACAAGTTTCGAGAGAAATGATAGAAAATATATTTGCTTGAGGTTTCTGGACAGTGATGAATTAGAACAAGTGTCCGTGTGTCCTGTGCTGACTTCTGAGTGGACAGTGAGGGATTGTCATTGGATTTTAAATTGACCCAATTTTGGAAGCTTCATAGATCTGTTTCTGTAAACAGATCCGATTTCAACATAGAAGTTAGCAAACACAAATGTGGAAATACAAAGTCCATTAACTTCTTTCAGACTTAGTTTGTGACTTTGATTAACAGTTGAAATTGCACACTGGATTATGTTGCCATTTATTGACGCTTGCTGATCCCTATGCACAAAAAAAAAAAGTAGGTGTTTTCTCCCTGGGTAAGATGAAAATAACTCAACTCTATTTAACTTGTAGTAGTGTAATAGGATCTCTTATCCCTTGTGAAAGTAGGCGAGGGTGTCCCTGGGGAAATGGCACAGCCTGGGATGGGACCATCTTAACTAACCACACTTCTAAATGAAGTCTTGACTTGCTCTATTTATTCTATTAAATTACCAGTTGTTTAACTCATGATTTTTCCTGTAAAAGAAATAGGGAGGACTCGGCTTGAAAGCTGGAGAGCGAGGTGCTCAATTGAAAGCATCTATCACACAAGTCTTTGTTTTGCTTAGGAGCTGCTAATCCACTATTTCAGCCTTAGAATGCACCCTTTTGCCACTTCCCCCCATCCTCTCAGAACCTGCACCTTTTGATTTATAGAGCTTGTCAAGGCTAGTTATTTTTGGTTTGAGAGTGAAGAGACAGGAGGTGATGGAGGTTAATTTCAGATGACTGTGGAAATAGGTTGCATTGCTTCTTTTGCAGTCTTCCTCAATTGTGTGCTTTACCCACAGTTGTTTCCCCTTTCCATTTATCTCTCCCCTTAGAAAAAGTCAATATTCATCCTTAGCCTAGAGAGCTCTGCATGTCTGTCTGTATCTTTTAGGTATCAATTTCACCAGGAAGCTTGCTCTGCCCCTTCTTCACTCTGTTCCCCTTCTCTGCACTTCCATAGTTTATCCTTAGTTGCCCTTGGTTTAGTCCCCATTACAGCAGGGATCACCCTGTATCATAATTGTATTCTCCATTCAACTGTGAGTTCCTTAAGGGAAGGGATTATATATATCCTTTGTTATTTTTTGGAAACAAAAATATAGCGATATGATATGATGGATGGTCTTGATAGGCACTTTTTAAAAGGAACCTAACTAGTTCGGGACAGGCTTTTTTCCTCATGTCTATTGTAGGATTGTTGGTCAGGAAGAGTATTTTTTAACTTACAATGTTTGTAGATTTGCAGGAGTCTGAAGCTATGGTGGATTCAGATAATTTTGAAATGTGATGCTGATTCCCTTGCTTGGCAGTTTAATTTGTTTGGGGGAATGTGGTTGACGCATATGCCCTTCTTTTTTTTTTCCAGTGAGACCTGTTGACAGAAATTCAATCTTGATTAAGGGGTGCAGGAAGGCATCCAGTTCCCACCATGCGTGAGGCGCTCTCATTTAAACAGTTGGCTTTGACCCTGGCCCTCTCCATTTCCCACTAGGCCTTGTGCTCTTTCATTTTTGAAGGTTTTACATCCTAATATTTATTATTTATGGGAGAGGCAGTGTGGTGAAATTGGCATAGCCCCGTAGTTACTTTTGGCTTTGTTCATGTACTTGTGCTGTCATCCTTTATTGAGGAGAGTCAGACTTCTCAATGGATATATATTTCCTTTTTTGTTCCCTTTTTTGGGGGAGGGGAATGGCCTCCTGAGTTGGCCATACTACACCAAAAGATAGCTCAAAAGAAGCTTTCTAAAAAAGAGGTCATGTTAAAAATAGTATTTGGGTTTTAAAATTTCAACTAAATAAAGATTGAGTGTATTTAGGTTTGAGCCCCTTGCCTTTTAACTCTCACCAATTAAATGCAGTCCTAGACCCCAAAAGGCATGCCTCCTTCTGATGCTTGAATACCCTCTTCCTAGCCTCTTTTACTTAGAATATCCACTAAGACGTTCAGACTAACTTCCATTTTATGTATAGCAAAAACTTTATATGCAAGAGTACAAACTCAGAAAGAGGAATTAAGGGCGATGTTTTATTTTATGGGAAGATTGAGCTCAGAGCTTTTCCTGGTATATTTAGAATAGGGTTTTTAATCTATCAGTGTTCTTTATGAACAACTTGTCAGGGATGCTTAGTTTTTTGTACAGAGCAGAGTTTATTTTTTGTTTAACAGGTTGTTAAGATTTGGTCACCTACTTCATTTTTGAAGGGATATTTATAGGAAAACTCTGTATGTTATAGGGATCCCAGATTTTGGAATCCTACAGACCTGGTCTTAAAACTCAACACTGCTACACTAGTTTGTGATCTTGGAGTAGCTTAGGTTCTCTGAGCTTGTTTCCTTGTTTGTAAAATGGTGATGATGAAGATGATATCTACCTTCTATATTGTTAATTCAGTTTAAATGAGATGATGTATGTGAAGTGCCCGGTAAGGTGCTTGGCCTGTAGTAGACATTCAATATTTGGAAGTTATTATTACCTATAAATGGTTTTGTCTCTTGTTCCTTGACATTTGATATTGATCTGTACTATATTTATATCTATATTTAAATAAATATGGGAGGTAGTAGATGGTGCAGTGGATAAAGACATACCCTTTAGGGCCTATTTGGGTTCAAATTCTGGCTCTGCTACTTCTTAGCTGTGTGACCGTGAACAAATAGTAAATCTCTCTGTGCCTCATTTTCCACTTCTGTAAAAGAAAGGTAATAATACTACCTGCTTCATAGGGTTATTGTTAGGATTTAGTGAATTAATAATTGCAAAACACAGTCCACAGTGCCTGGCATGTCATAAGCACTCAGTAATTCATAGCTATTATTATTTTTAACTTTTTTTTGAAGTTTATATACCTTTTTATTAAGTCAATACCAGGAACATTTTATTTTTTTACAGAAACATTACAAAAGAGAATGTGAAGTTAGTAGCCAATGTATAGACCATGTAAATGAGAAGCATTATTTCCAAAAATCAAGAGGTTTAACAATTATTGCTGGATTTAAGAATAATAAAAATTTCCAGAAAGCCAAGTGCCTTCTAGACTGTAATGTAAATATAGATTTAAGGGGAAAGAAATACTGTTTAACTAGTTTTTCAAACTGAAAAGATATGCATTTATACAATAAAACATTTAAAGAGTATAAAAGTTTATATAGTGAAAAGTCTTACCCTGACCAAGAACTGCCAGTTTTCTCCTCAGACCCAAGTACGGTTAGCACTTTTCTATCTCCTGCCACAATAGTTTATGTATATACAAAGGTATATATGAGTATATGTTACCCTTTTCCTCTTTTTAACATGAATTGGGAGCATACACTTCTGTATTTTGCTTTTCTCATTTAATAGCTCTTGGAGCTCATTCTGTACATATAATCACATATGTAAAGTTACCTACTAATATTAAAATTATTATTTCATTATACATTTGTGCCATGATTTATTCACACAATCTCCTATTGGTAGAATTTGGGTTTTCAGTTTTTTGACTTTTATGAACAATTCTATAGTTAACTTTCTTATCCTCAACGTATGCATAAATGCGTATCTGAAAGATAAATTTCTACGTTTGGCAAGATCTCTCAAAAAGAAAAATGCAAATTGTCCTCCAAAGAGGGCTAGCAGTATAGCCCCATAATTAAAAAAAGAGAAAGGGGTATGAGGGGTTAAATCTGAATCCTTTCCAGGTGGTTTTTAGCCCCATGCTTTGGGGGAATCATGGTTTTTAGGCGGCTAAGTGGGGTTGCTGCAAGTTGCATTCCTGCTTCTCCCCCCACCCCCACCCAGCTTTAGTTGTCATTACATTCCCGCCTGGGAAGTGTTCCCAGTGACCTGGCTTAGGCATTGAGATCATGGGAATCCAAGATTTTCCCATGTCTTCCAGCATGTTTGTTCACAAGAACAGGGAAACTTCCTCTTTGCAGAAGGGGAATTTTAGCCACTGTCAGTCACTGGAGAATCTTTCAGTAAGGGTTTTTTTGATTAGAAATGTGGTCAAGGAGACGAAAGCTGTCAGTAGGTCAAAAGACCAGTGATAGGGCCGGCTGAGTGGTGCATTGGTTAGGAGTTGGCTTGGGACGCCAGCTCTTAGCAGCAGGGACCTGGTTTAGATCCCACATGAGGGCCAGTGATGCTGCGTCCTCTACAGCTA